CAGGCATTATTCCAAGAGGTTTTCCAGAGGGGGAAAAATACATTCTAAAGCCTGCTGTTTACTGATTTATTCAGTTACATAATCACTTCTTAATTATCATCCTAGATTAGCCACAAACACGTTCTGGCACCATTTTAGTTTGTGCTTTTTCACATTTTGGACCCTTTAATAGAGCACATGAAAAACACTTGATATCCTTCTTTTACTAATCTACCAAGTTGCCCAATCTCAGACCAGTTGGCAAAGTGAGTCTATTCACTGTGCTAAATCATTTACATCCAGTCAAGTAGATGGTGTTCATATGCTCATGGAGTGCTGGTCTGTGTACAGAACATAATAGTATTCTGTAGTACCTGCTGATTTTCTGTAATATTCATCTCTGCAAGAGTGAAATGTGTGAAACTGACTCAGTTTGAAATGAAGAAGAAAATATGATGAATGGAATGGTTTGCCTCTGCTACCAAATTGATCTCTCGGTTAGAACAACCATGCAATGAAGAATTCAAAGAATGCCAGTAAGCATAAAGCACATGAGAAATACTTTTATGTGGAAAAATAAAAGTAACTGAAAATGTCTATGGGAGATTTTTCTCCCCCTGGGACTTCTTGCGTGGAGAGGCGTGACCCTGAGAGCATTTTCTTGACATTTCCATTGAGGAAGAGGCAGACACTACAGACTGCCCTTTTGTTATTTAACAGAGCCTGTTTTTAGGGGCTTGTAGAACAGGGGGCAGTGTTTCACAACAGCTTTCAACAAGAACATTTGAAACCATTGAGAACAAGTAGAACAGATAATGAGCCGTATTAATGTGACAATTAGTTATATTGATCAAAAATGTTTCTGGCATTGATGCAAGGTTCAGCTAGAATTAAAAATATGGCAACAGATAGCAGAGGCTGTCGGCCATGTTGTCTATCTCCATGCCAGATGCTGGGCTCTGACAGCAACATTTAGTATCTGGTTTTAGTGCACAGACTGAAAATATACCCATGTATTGTATGAGAGGCAAGCAAATAAAAGTCTCTTATTTTATGTTCTTTCTTTGGAAGTAATGAACTCAGCCTATTGCAAAAAAAAAAACAGCAGATTTTAATACAGCACATTATGGTCTAAATATATTTGGTAGCAGATGGTGGAATAGGCATTAGTAATGTTGAACACAAGTCGTCTCAGAAAATTGGTGTCTCAGAAATGTCACCACAGTGATTTGGTTATAACTGTACAGTTCACAATAGATTTATATTTAAGCACTACAGTGAAAGTATAACAAGGGTCACAGTGTTATGTAAGACTATATACCTTTATATCTCTGTGTATCGTACATGACATCTAACTCATTTTGGAACACCAATTTTAACAGTCATTTTTGAATCTTTCAAGACATTTCTAGTTTTCTGTTTACCTTGCTGTCCACTACGTGATTCTGTTTAATTTAGAGGACAGGGGAGAGACATAAGGGGCTTTAGACCATGACTAATGTTATGGATCATAACCATGGGCAAACTTAAATAAATGCTGTCTCAAAAATGTGCATGCTTCAGCAAGTGCAGGCCCAGCTGGAGAATCGTTCAGACATTTTACAACCATGTTAAACCCAAAACTAATATGCACATTTCTCAAGTTGCATTGGAGGAATTTTGAATACAAAATAAAGTATAATTACTATTTTATTTAAAACTATAATTATAAAAATTATTTAATAGCATTATAAAAACAACAACAAATATGTCATTTAAGAAAAAATGCAACATGATGGTTTTAAATGTTATTTACATCAGTGACATTTGACATTAGTGCAGATTTTCAGTGAACAACTACTGAAATTTCACGTTGTTTCTTACACAAATCCTCAGATGACTTGAAACGCAGTCTACTAATCATATTGACTACTTCAGTGGTGCTTTTGTGTCCTTTTTGGAGCTTAACAGGTATAGTCACTATGAGATAAAACTACATAATTGTCTTAAAAAAACCTTTTACACCGTTTAAAAAAGTTCTCGTATTAATTTATTATTTTACAGTAGTAACTTTTTGGTGGTAGTAAACAGTAAATTTTTAGAAATTGTATCAAATTCAAAAATTTGCAAATATCTTGCAGTATTTAAAGATGCATTTATATTCTGGGATTTTCATATTTCTGACATGGTACATTACAACTGCTATGTTCTATTTGTGAATAGAGAATAAAGTCTCCATCATGCAACTGTACTTAACTTTAGGCTGAATTTGACTTAAACTGAACTAATTTCAGGTAGTGTGCAGAGAGATTTGACAGATGTAGAAAAATCTAAAGAAAAAAATCCTTAAAGGCACAATATGTAAGATTTTTTTTATTAAAATATCCAAAAATCACTAGAACAGTGTTATATATTTTGCTGACTTGTGTACTTGCATTATCCCAAGTGTTTCAAAGAATGTTTGAAGAAATCCAGAGAAATAAGCAATTTTAACTAATGACACGAACCGTGTCTATAGTGTCATTTTGCTTTGCCTGCTAATGACGTCATACATTCCGGTTTTGTTTTGTAGAAAACATGGAAACACCAAAGACACTTTAATATGTTATGCGTTTTATTACACAGGTGACGACCGCACAGAGTAGCATTATAACAGAACTTTCAAATGTATCTAGTATGATAAAACAGAGATGCTTTACTCCACATAAGCACGACCGGAAGGAGCAGAAACGCTCGACTGTGGCATAATAAAAGCTCCGCTGCTTTTGAGCCGTGTGTCACACTCGTTCAGCGGCCTTATTTCGCTTTCGATGGCTTTCAGCCTCACCCTGCTTCATACTATGACGTTAATAAATCTTTAATACATTAGCTCATTCATGAACATGACTTCTGCCCAAGTCCCGTTGGATTGCATCGGCTGTGGGGATGAAGACGACAACTCCCATGATTCCACACTCAGTCACGGCATCATCAAGCTACGTCTTTGTTTCTTTGTTTGTTTTGAATACACGCCCTCTATCGGCGAAAACTTGCATATTGTGCCTTTAATTAATCTTTGAGGATTCATATTTAATGGGTATTTTGGGTGACTATTCCTTATTACTTATTGGGTTAGTTCATTCAAAAATGAAAATTATATCTTAATTTATTCACTCTCGTTTCATTCCAAACTCACAAGACTTCATTCATCTTGCTAATTTACACTGAACAAAATTATAAATGCAACACTTTTGTTTTTGCCCCCATTTTTCATGAGCTGAACTCAAAGATCTAAGACTTTTTCTATGTACACTAAAGGTCTATTTCTCTCAAATATTGTTCACAAATCTGTCTAAATCTGTGTTAGTGAGCACTTCTCCTTTGCCGCGATAATCCATCCACCTCACAGGTGTGGCATATCAAGATGCTGATTAGACAGCATGATTATTGCACAGGTGTGCCTTAGGCTGGCCACAATAAAAGGCCACTCTAAAGTGTGCAGTTTTATCACACAGCACAATGCCACAGATGTCGCAAGTTTTGAGGGAGCGTGCAATTGGCATGCTGACTGCAGGAATGTCCACCAGAGCTGTTGCCCGTGAATTGAATGTTCATTTCTCTACCATAAGCTGTCTCTGAAGGCGTTTCAGAGAATTTGGCAGTACATCCAACCGGCCTCACAACTGCAGACCACGTGTAACCACACCAGCCCAGGACCTCCACATCCAGCATCTTCATCTCCAAGATCGTCTGAGACCAGCCACCGCTGCTGTAACAATCGGTTTGCATAACCAAAGAATTTCTGCACAAACTGTCAGAAACCGTCTCAGGGAAGCTCATCTGCATGCTTATCGTCCTCATCGGGGTCTCAACCTGACTGCAGTTCGTCGTCGTAACCGACTTGAGTGGGCAAATGCTCACATTCGATGGCGTCTGGCACTTTGGAGAGGCGTTCTCTTCACAGATGAATCCCGGTTTTCACTGTACAGGGCAGATGGCAGACAGCGTGTATGGCGTTGTGTGGGTGAGCGGTTTGCTGATGTCAACGTTGTGGATCGAGTGGCCCATGGTGGGGTTATGGTATGGGCAGGCGTATGTTATGGACAACGAACACGGGTGCATTTTATTGATGGCATTTTGAATGCACAGAGATACCGTGACGAGATCCTGAGGCTCATTGTTGCAAGGATCTGTACACAATTCCTGGAAGCTGAAAACATCCCAGTTATTGCATGTCCGGTGAGTAGGGAATGAGTGGACCAACATTCCACAGGCCACAATCAACAACCTGATCAACTCTATGAGAAGGAGATGTGATGCACTGCGTGAGGCAAATGGTGGTCACACCAGATACTGACTGGTTTTCGGACCCCCCAATACAGTAAAACTGCACATTTTAGAGTTGCCTTTTATTGTGGCCAGCCTAAGGCACACCTGTGCAATAATCATGCTGTCTAATCAGCATCTTGATATGCCACACCTGTGAGGTGGATGGATTATCTCGGCAAAGGAGAAGTGCTCACTAACACAGATTTAGACTAGATTTTAGATTTAGATTTGTGAACCATATTTGAGAGAAATAGGCCTTTTGTGTACATAGAAAAAGTCTTAGATCTTTGAGTTCAGCTCATGAAAAATGGGGGCAAAAACAAGTGTTGCGTTTATAATTTTGTTCAGTGTATATTGTGAATAATTACTAGGGCAAGTACTAATCTAAGGATAATTTTTTAAAGTTACAATAACCTTAAGACAAAATAAAGACAAAGATTAAAGACAATAGACAAAATAACCTTATAAAAGTCATAAACTAGATGGTTGAGTACATAGTGTATAGTATTCTGTAATAGCGTATGGTGTTTGGGACACATGTCTAAAGCAAATCTATATATGCACACAAGGAAGTAAAACCATTAAATGGCAGGTCGATGACATAACATGCCAAGCATGGAATGAATGGACAAACTGGTTTAAGGCTGAGTTTGAGAAAGTGCTTTTGTTCCAGTCATGGTCCGCCCAGCTTTATCGATAATATATAAGATTGAGATGTGCTGTTCAGCATCACTGTGTTCTGGTTGAACTGTTGGGGAGAGAATCACCCGTGATTTGCTCTGCAGCAGCATTTCATCTCAGGTGAACTTACTTTTTCATTCATGCCATCTGACTCTATACTTTAAATCAAATGCTTTTGTTATGCATATTAGTTTTGTGATTTTATATCTTATTTTGTCTACATGAACATTTTTAATAATTTGTTCTGGAGGTAATCTCAGGGATTGTGGAATACTAGTTGCAATTTTTATAAAAAATACACAACAAAGCCTTTTAAAGCATCTTCTGCACTGCAAATTAACATCTTAAATATTTTACACAATAACCTTAACAATTCCATGTTGCTTCTCACCATTTAGGAGTGCAAATATAAGAAGACAAAGCAACTATTGACTATTATAATAGAAGTTGTTTAATGGAAATACAATACATTTATGAGAGATTTTCAATGAAATAATTTTACTTTTCTGAGCTACTTTATCAATTGTGTTTAACTAATTGGTCTTGGTGGCTTGCTATAGATGTACCAAGTCAGTTGCAATCAAGTCACCACAAAACAAAACAAATGCAAAAAATTTGCACATTCCAAAAATTTGACTTGTCCTCATTTTGAATATGTATTGCTTCATATTTTGAACTCTACTCTGCTTATATTTTCTAAAAATGCCACTTCTTTTTATGTTTTGTCATAAAATGCAAATATATTTACACATTTTATTTATCGTGAGTGTCCAAATACTCCAAATACTATTTAGTGTGCATGTATTGTTTGTTTGTTTGTACAGCGGGTAAAATAAGTATTGAACACATCACCATTTTTCTCAGTAAATATATTTCTAAAGGTGCTGTTGACATGAAGTTTTCACCAGATGTCGGTAACAACCCAAGTAATCCATACATACAAAGAAAACAAAACAAATAATTAGAAGGGTCAATATCACTGTAGGGTGCCTTTTGGTGTCCTGTGCAAAACTCAATAATAACTTAACAGTATTACTAAGGCTATAGGCAGGTGAGTTTTGTTTTCAGGGTTGGAGCTGAACTCTGCAGGACTGCGGCTCTCTAGGACCGAACTTGCCTACCCCTGGCCTAATATAACACACCCTTTTATAGTCATTTTTTGTTAAGTTTTTACTTTTTTACATATATATTTTGTGTAAGAGGATGCATGTTATTTTTCTATGTCCCATGCACTGCTCATTAAATTTGAATGATAGTAGAATATTGTTAAATCATAAAATGTAAAAAATATATATTCTCCTATTAATATTTTATTAAATAAGAGATTACTCCATTTGAGTGTATTGATCATTTGGTTATAAAAATTATATTTTTATTTAATAAAAAATAAGAGTTTTAATATCACTATGGTGATATTAACCCAGAAAGCAATTATGTCCCTTGTCAGAAGAAATTAATATTAGCTGGTTCAGTCCCAACACCTACCAGGATGATGAAGATGAAACAAGGGTGGACATTTCAGCAAGACAGTGATCGCAAACACAGCCAAAGAAACTCTCTGAAATTGGTTTCGGAGAAAGAAAATAAAGCTGCAATAATGGCCCAGCCAATCACCTGACTTGAATCCAATAGAAAATAAGAACTGCAGATCAGAGTTCACAGAAGAGGACCACAGAACCTTCGAGATTTGAAGACTGTTTGTGTGGAAGAATGGGCCAAAATCACACCTGAGCAATGCATGCGACTATAGTTTCTCAAAACAGCAGGCGTCTTGAAGCTGCCATTACCAACAAAGGCTTTTGTACAAAGTATTAAATAAAGTTCAGTAGTTCAGTATTTTTTCCCTGTGTCATTCCATTTTATTACACATAACTTAATTTCTGAACTTATTTGTTTTCTTTGTATGTATGGATTACTTGTGTTGTTACCGACATCTGGTGAACATTTCATGTCAAAAGCACCTTTAGAAAAATGGTGACGTGTTTAATACTTAGCCTATTTTATCCGCTGTATGTTATGTAGTTATGTACATAAATAAATACATGTGCATATTTATTTACTTGTGCACATTTTTCGTTACAGATCACTTTGACACTTTGGCGTTCCCCAAGAGCAGTCTGCCACAATGAGGTTTCTAATCTCATTGTGTGCATCACAACTCCTGTTGATTAACGGTAAGAGTTTTATTAAAATAGGGTCCACTTTATCATGATTTATAATGATCCTTAATTTCTTCTTCTTCCAATTCGTTACTTTTAATAATATAAAATGTGTTGCAAACATTTTGCCATAATTTACTGCTTTTTAGCAATCTGCATTTGCACTGCAACAAACAAAAATGTGTTTGGAATGTAAAACTGGAATGTACTGCACCTCTCAAAGACATTATAAAAGATCGTTAGTTCCCAGAATATCTTCATTTAGAAAAGGTTAATGCTGTCATGTGTCTGAGTCATTCATGAGTCATTCGTTTCCTTCAAGTATGCTTTGAACTGCTCGGATCATATTATCTTTTGATCATAACACGACTTGATTTCTATCAATATTGTATTCGTTTGGGTAACACTTTATTTCGATAGTCCACTTTAGACATTCTATTAACAGTAAGTAACTTTGCAACTACATGTCAACTAGCAGTTAGTAGAGTATTAGTAGACTGTCTGCTTAATATCTTCTAACACTTTCTTTGTCAACTTATTCTACTAACCCTAAACCTACCCTAACAGTCTACTCTGAAGTTACTTATAGTTAGTAGAATGTATAAAGTGGACTATCGAAATAAAGTGTAACCTTTGTTTGTTTTTCCATCAGTGTTTTTCATCCACATTTACTTAATTAAAAGGAATTAAAGCAACAGACTTGCTGAACATTTGGTCATAACTCATTTTATTCTGTTCATTGTGTAAAACTGAAGTTTATCATTCATGTAGTCTGAACACAAATTATTTTTATTGAATTGAAACTGCTTGGGCAATGGATTTTCTTTAGTTCCCAAAATGCTTTGCATATCTGAATCAGCAGAGAATATGTTGAAATTAAGTGTTGTTTTAGGTGTTTTAATGTTAAAAATATACTAATAATTAACAGTGTGTGAGTTGCGAGAGTGTGTTTGTGTGTGTGTATAGAAAATAAAACCTTTTGTATGACATGCATGAAATTATATATGTACACTACCATTCAAAAGTTTGAGGGCAGTTAGATTTTTGAAAGAAGTATTTTATGCTTAAGCTGAATTTATTTGATAAAAAATGCAGTTATACTGTGAAATATTACAAATGAACTGTTTTCTATTTTAATATGTTTTAAAATGTTCTTTTTTCTGTGACCACAGCTGAATTTTCAGCGGTCATAACGCCAGTCTTCAATGTCACATGATCCTTCAGAAATCATTCTAATATGCTGATTTGCTGCTCAAGAAACCTTTATTTTGATCAATATTGAAAACTGTTGTGCTGCTTAATATTTTTGTGGAATCGATGATGCCTTTTTTTCAAGATTGATTAACAAAAGAGCAGCATTTATTGTTTGTATCATGTCTTTTTGTCACTTCTTAATTTAATGCATCCTTGCTGAGTAAAAGTATAAATTTCTTAAAAACCCACTTGACAAACTTTTGAACTGTAGTGTACTGTAGAACTAGATGGACACTCAACACACGTTGCTCTTTCGCTAACAACCCTTTTCTTCATGACAGTTGCTTTCAGCAGCAATGATCCTTGTTACAACTATGAATCTCTGGATCATACCTGGAGAGCCACAGATGAAGCTGGATTTTACGTTTGTGATGAATATTTTGACTGGAACGGCTGGTACCGACTTTTCTACAATGGAATGGACATCCGAATGCCAGAACGCTGTGTGAACGCAGGCAACTGTAACACAGATCACAGTCTGTGGCTCAATGGATCTCACCCTCAGATAGAGGATGGAGAGGTCATCATGGAGGTCTGTGCTAGCACATTGTATGACTGCTGCTATTTCGAATCTACACCAATCAGAGTCAAAGCTTGCCCAGGCGATTACTATGTCTATGAACTTGTGAATCCACAGTATGGGTGCTCAGGATACTGCACAGGTACTGTTTTTCTAGCTTTTTTAATTGTTTTTTTTTCTTTAATAAAAATTAGTTCACAAATTTAATTAAAAGTGAATTTTTTTCCCTTTTTAGATATCAGCACAATATCCCAGACAAGTTCCACTTCAACTCCATCTACGTTTAGTGGATCCAGCCTTTCCATGTGTAGGTTGCTAATTAAATAATGAATCGCAGACATTGAAATTGAACCAAACCAAATCAATTTAGTACATTTTACATTGTATGGACAAATACACCGAGGTGTATCTCAAAATATTTTTTATGTTCCACAGAATTAGAAACGTCAAGGTTGACTTTTTTTCATCTGAGAAAAAATTGTTCTAACTCTTAACAGGTTAGAGGTTCAGACCACAACTATGGCAATAATGACAATGATGCAGATTTCATAATGTAGATTTTTTTCCCCACCCACCTGAGGAACATTGGCAGCCCATCAAAATCCATTTGAAGTTTGTGCCGCAGTTATGTTTACAGCTGTATTTTATTCATGTTTATATAAAATGAGTAATTTTATAAAATTTTATGAGTATATAAAAAATTTAATTGTCCATTAAGTGTAGAATAGACACTAATACAGAAATCATTATAATGATAGTGCTTGGTGTGAACTGGCCTTTTTAGGGTCGTGAGACCGTACCAAAAGTGTTCATCAAATGTTCATATATACAGTTGAGGTCAAACGTTTACGTCCCCCTTTCAGAATCTGCAAAATGTTAATTATTGTACCAAAATAAGAGGGATCATACAAAATGCATGTTATTGTTCATTTAGTACTAACCTGAATAAGATATTTCACATAAAAGATGTTTACATATAGTCCACAAGAGAAAATAATAGTTGAATTTATAAATATGACCCCGTTCAAAAGTTTACATCCCCTTGATTCTTAATGATAGTTGTTCACGAGTCCCTTGTTTGTCCTGAACAGTGAAACTGCCTGCTGTTCTTCAGAAAAATCCTTCAGGTCCCACAAATTCTTTGGTTTTCCAGCATTTTTGTTTATTTGAACCCTTTCCAACAATGACTGTGTGATTTTGAGATCCATCTTTTCACACTGAGGACAGCTGAGGGACTCATATGCAACTATTACAGAAGGTTAAAATGCTCACTGATGCTCCAGAAGGAAACACAATGCATTAAGAACTTTTTGAATTTGAGGAACAGGGTAAATTTAACTTATTTTGTCTTCTGGGAAACATGTAACTATCTTCTCTAGACTCTGAAGGGCAGTACTAAATGAAAAAAAATATGATATTTATGCAAAATAAGAAAAATGTGCACATCTCTGTTCTGTTCAGAAGTTTTTACATGTTGTGTAACTGATACCAAAACAAAATGTCAGGGTTTCAAAAGACATATGACTTCTTTCTTTTGGTCTCGTCAGCTGCCATCGACACAGATTATGACCCATGCCACAACTACAACATTCTTGATGAATACTGGAGAAGCACACTCAATTACTGGTATCAATATGGATACATGTCTGGAAATGATGACACACTAGTTGAATGGCATGGCTGGTATCGACTCTTCATTAATGGATCGAGTGCTCAGATGCCTGAGTGGTGTTTCAGTTATATGTCATGTGGAGGTTATAGTTCTCTGTGGCTTGGTGACCCTCATCCTGAGATAGAAGAGGGAGTCGTTACTCGTGAAGTCTATGGCTCTGTTAATGACCAGTGCAGTTACTACATATCTGACCCCATCCAAGTCAAAGCTTGTCCTGGAAATTACTATGTCTACAAGCTTGAAAGTCCAAAGCCATCGATCCCAGTGCCTGTATATTGTGCAGGTACAGTTATTCTCCTTCATAACTTACAGAATTATAGTCACCTCTCATATGAAAACTATTTACAGAGCTGTAAATGCTAAAAGGTATTACTCATGTAGGCTTGAACATGCTTAATCCACAATAGCTATAATCCACTCTTTATATTTTCACTATAGTTCCATTCAGCACTCCAAATACTGATCCCTGCTATGACTACACCAGTCTGGACGACCCTTGGCGAGCCACTGACAATTATTACAACAATTACGTGTGTGATTATAATGTCAACTGGAACGGCTGGTACAGGCTCTTCTACTATGGTCAGAGTGTCCAGATGCCAGATTCATGTGTTGGTTCTGGCATGTGTGGCACAGACAAACCACTTTGGCTCAACGGCCCTCACCCACAGCTGGAAGATGGAGTGGTCACTCGGCAAGTGTGCGGTTCCACATGGAATGACTGCTGTGATTACAAATCTCATCCCATACGAGTCAAAGCTTGTACAGGAAACTATTATGTGTATGAGTTTGTCAGGCCACTATTGTGTTCATCTTACTGTGCAGGTAAACATGTTTGCATCACGTACATGCTTTGGTTTGGAATTTTTATTCTTTTTGCTTATGTTTGAAAATGATGGACTTTGATGTAAAACAAAAAAATTTTCCCGGCACCAGATGTCTCAAGCCTCAGCAGCCCAACATCTACAACATCACCTACAGCAACAGTGGCAGTCATACCCCCAGAATCCATTACTCCGCCTGTCACAGACACAGGTATGTTGTGTAATTAGGTTTTATTTTTAGGTAAGCTCATTGGCTGTCAGCTGTTTTTTTTCTTCTTCTCAATAAATAGAAGCTTTACAATTTGCCATGTATAATCAAAGACTTCAGATATAATTTATAGGGGAGTCTGGAAAAATCTTTTTAAGCTCCATTTCTAGGTTGATTTCACACCACAAGAGTAAAAAAAAAAGATAATATGAATTAATATATATTTTTAAATATGTTTTCACAGCCCTCCACTTTGACCCCTGCTATAGCTACACTGTGCTGGACGATCCTTGGAGAGCCACAGACAATCGATATACCTTCAATTTAATGTGTGACGCTTATGTCAGCTGGGTGGGCTGGTATCGTCTCTTCATTCATGGCCAGAGCGTTCAGATGCCAGACACATGTGTTGATCGGCTAAGCTGTGGCACTCATGCTCCACTTTGGCTAAACGGTCCACATCCACGAATTGAGGATGGAGTGGTGACTCGAGATGTCTGCGGTCACTGGTGGAATAACTGCTGTGGTTTCCAGTCAAATCCAATTAGAGTGAAAGCCTGCCCAGACAATTACTACGTCTATGAGTTTGTTAGCCCAAGTTTCTGCTATGGGACCTACTGTGCAGGTAAACATATCTGCATTCACCCACGTTATGCATTACATTTATGAGTTTGCTTTTTTGCATACCGTTGAGGTAAATACATCAACATGTGCCTTTTGTACTATGTAATAAATACTTTTTGCTGTTTATTAATTAAGTCATTTAATTTTGTTTTACAGATGTTAGCAACAATAGCATCAGCATTCCTACTTTCACTCCAGAGACAACTTTGGCTGGTAATGTAGTATGCTATGCCCTCTACTGACTTGACGTTTTGACAGGAAATGTTAAGACACTAGATAAAACAATGTTTGAAATTTGCAAATGCAGTACTAGTTTCTTTGCTGACTTTCATGTTGAGCTACACAATATTTATGCATTCATATTTCATTTTACTGAATTAACATGTACTGTACTGAAATGTATTGTAGGTTTACAAAATCTTTACACTTAAACCTTTTGTGTGTGTGTGTGTGTGTGTGTGTGTTGTTGTTATTTGTAACAGAGGCTTTCCGCATTGACCCCTGCTACAACTACACAGCCCTGGATGATCCTTGGAGAGCCACAGACAATCACAATTCATACAATTGTGATGCTAGTGTTAATTGGGATGGCTGGTATCGTCTCTTCATTGCAGGCCAAGATGCTCAGATGCCAGAAACATGTGTTAATCAGTTTAGCTGTGGCACTGTTGCCCCACTGTGGCTAAATGGTCAGCATCCACGAGTCGAGGATGGAGTGGTCACCCGTCATGTCTGTGGCCACTGGAACGATGACTGCTGCAATTATGTGTTTAATCCTATGAAAGTGAAAGCCTGCCCAGGAAATTATTATGTGTATGAGTTCATGAACCCAGTGTTCTGCAATGTGGCATACTGCTCAGGTAAATATATTTACATTCAAACTTGTATAAGTGTGTTTTTGTACTTAACTAATATTCATCCAAAACTTCACAGAAGTGACGAATATCAGATATACAGATGTAACGCCACACACCACCCCAACTGGTAATTTAATGTTCTTTGTCCTCTGACATAATTTTTTTTAAACTAACAATAACAAAGAATACTTAAACAGCTAAACAATTTGCAAACAAATAATAATAATAATAATAACCTTATATATTTTAATAATGTTTTACTTTCAAAAAGATTTCCTGTTGTCACAGAAAAATATATATTTTTTTTATTGTTCAACCCATAATGCCATATTTGTACATATATATATATATATATTTATTTATTTATTTAAAATATGTGTGTATACATGTGTGTGTGTGTGTAATATATATCAAATATATATTATATCAAATACACACACACACACACACACATACTGTACATACATACAGTGGGTACGGAAAGTATTCAGACCCCCTTACATTTTTCACTCTTCGTTATATTGCAGCCATTTGCTAAAATCATTTAAGTTAATTTTTTTTCCTCATTAATGTACACACAGCACCCCATATTGACAGAAAAACACAGAATTGTTGACATTTTTGCAGATTTATTAAAAAAGATATGGCTCTGTTAATGATCAGTGCAGTTCCTACACATCCAACCCCATCCAAGTCAAAGCTTGTCCTGGAAATGTCTATGTCTACAGACTTTTAAGGCCAAAACCATCAATCCCACTGCCTGTATATTGTGCAGGTACAGTCATACCATAAATTGTATTGTCACCTTTCATTTAAAACTACACTTATAGATTTGTTGATTTTTAAATGGATTTAAACATCTTAAATGCATTTACTCTTTATATTTTCACTATAGTTTTATTTAACACTCCAAATACTGATCCCTGCTATGACTACACCAGTCTGGACGACCCCTGGAGAGCCACTGACAATTATTACAACAATTACATGTGTGATTATAATGTCAACTGGAACGGCTGGTACAGGCTCTTCTACTATGGTCAGAGTGTCCAGATGCCTGAGTCAAGTGTTGGTTCTGACATGTGTGGTACTCCTCACCCACTGTGGCTCAACGGCCCTCACCCAGAGCTAGAAGATGGAATGGTCACACGACAAGTCTGTGGTTCCACTTGGAATGACGTCTGTGGTTATAAATCTCATCCAATACAAGTCAAAGCGTGTCCAGGAAACTATTATGTGTATGAGTTTGTCAGGCCAACATTCTGTGCATCTTACTGTGCAGGTAGTTTTTTTTAAAGTTTTTTTTTAAACATGCTTTGTTTTTGCTTTTGATATTTTAGGTTGTACAATTTTTGACAGTTAAAAGTATCATTTTTACTTTACAGATGTTACCAACCTTGCATCTACAACAACATCTGAAACAACAGTGACAATTCCACCCACAGAATTCAGTACTTTGTCTGTTACAACCCCAGGTAAAAAAAAACAAATTTTTTAACTGTTTCACTCATGTTCTAGAATTTTTTTTTTCTAGATATCTTTTTCATGAAATGTATTTTTGCTATTTTATATTGAATGAATTAGTAATCCAAATGTATGCTCTTGGGTAATAAAATTAGTTCTCTATGTACACTATGCTCCACTATGCTTACAATTTTTTTTTAGCTATGTATAAATTCAATCTGTACCAGGTAGCTCAACAAGAAAATGTTCAAATTAAGTAGACAAAACGTTTTAATGAAGCTCCATTTGTAGGTAAATTAAAATTAAACAAATATTGACCTAAAAAGAAATGTTTAGTAACTCGGTTTATTTAGCAAATGATCCATTTATATTGCTAATGTTTCCACAGCAGAAACTATTCCTTTTGACCCCTGCTATAACTACACTGTGCTTGATGATTCTTGGCGATCCACTAGCAATCAGCATTCCTCCTTCATAATGTGTGATGCTCATGTCAACTGGAATGGCTGGTATCGTCTCTTCATTGGTGGCCAGAGTGGTCAGATGCCAGACACGTGTGTTGATCAGTATAGATGTAGCACTCACGCCCCACTGTGGCTAAATGGTCAACATCCACAAGTCGAGGATGGAGTGGTCACCCGAAATATCTGTGGTCACTGGGGCAATGACTGCTGCTATTTCCAATCCAATCCCATTAAAGTGAAAGCCTGCCCAGGAAATTACTACGTCTATGAGTTTGTTCAACCAAATTTCTGCTCTGGGACCTACTGTGCAGGTAAGAACATTCGCATTTGCTCTTAAATTGTCTGTTTAGTTTTTTGAACTATAATTAATCATGCCACTGTCTATTTCAGAATGTAATTTGCTTTGTCTTGTATTGATCTATTTTTGGGCTGAATGTATAGCCAGATTTTTATAATGCAATACGGGTTTGAATCAATATGTGTCTAGGGAAAATTTATGGATAAAATAATTTAAAATGTACAAACCACCATCCTCACATTTAATGACCATATTGGAACATTATGGAAACTTTTTAAGGGAAAAAAAAAACTACCTTTTTTGTAACTTTTTTTTCTCTTGACCCTCTTCTCGTAAAGCCCCAACTCCCAGCTCTGACCCATGCTCTGGTTACAATGTTCTTGATGATGGCTGGAGAGACTTGCGCACAAACTTCTACCAATCTTATTACAATGATGACAGATTTGTTGAATGGAATGGCTGGTATCGGCTGTATTTGAATGGAGAGAGTGCTCAGCTCTCTGAGTGGTGTACGAGTTTCACAGGATGTGGTGGTGAAGTTGGACTTTATCTCAATGGCTCTCATCCAAAACCTGAGGATGGGGTGGTGACCCGTGAAGTCTTGGGGTCGTCGTCTTGGGCGTGGTGGTGGTGGTGGTGGAGCGCCCACCATTGTGGCTATTATAAATCCACCTCCATTGAAATCAAAGCCTGTCCAGGAGATTACTACGTCTATAAACTCGTCAAACCTAACATGTCAATCCCTATGCCTACGTACTGCGCAGGTGCAGTTTTAACTTGTGTTCTTTATGGATGATTTTATTAATCCCCTATATGAAAGATTTACTCTTTGTTACAGCTCAACATTGATATACCAATACATTTATATAATATGCACAGGTAGTAACAATGTTAAACTTTTATATGGTCATGGATGCTTTAACCAGTTAGACTAGACACACACAGTCATGAGATGTCGTTATTATGCATCAAGTTATATAAATGACCCTGTAATACAGCATTTAAACAGCGATTTCACTAACAACCTTTTTTTTTCTCCATATCAGTTGCTTTCAATAACATCAGTAATGATCCTTGTTACAACTATGAAAATCTGGATCGTCCCTGGCGAGCCACAAATGAAACTGGACTTTACATTTGTGATGAAAATTTCTCCTGGAACGGCTGGTACCGACTTTTTTACAATGGAATGGACATTCGAATGCAAGAGAGCTGTGTTGCTGATGGCAGCTGTAACACATATAGCAGTCTGTGGCTCAATGGTCCTCACCCTCAGATTGAGGATGGAGTGGTGACAATGGAGGTCTGTGGAGGCAGATATTACAGCTGCTGTAATTTTAAATCAACACCCATCAGAGTCAAAGCCTGCCCAGGCGATTACTATGTCTATGAACTTGTAAAGCCACATTCATTTTATTGTTCAGGATACTGCACAGGTAAAATTATTCTGTAGCACTTTTTTTATTCAAAACCTTTATATTGTTTGATCAGTCTCTTAAAATTCCCTCTTTCAGATGCCAGCACTATATCAACAACTTTTTCCTCTACAAGTCCAGCTACATTTATGGGGTCCAGCATGAGTAGGTTTTTTACAGTCAAAATAATATTTCATCTTAGTTCAAAGGATAATACATATGAAATCTTGTTTTTAAGACATTTAGTAAAATGTTTGAAAATAATTAATTACAGCATTTGTTACATATACTGTTAGAAAGATATTGGTTATTTAAAAAAAAAATTCTCGGTTTATAATAAAGAGCTAATGGCATGCAGTACAAAGTAGCTCAGATAGACTTTTGACTGCTAACATGAACATTGCCTTATGAATTCATTTATTTATTTTTCCGATTTCTGTCTTATCAGCTGCTATCAACACAGATTTTGATCCGTGCTATGACTACAACATTCTTGACAACTCGTGGAGAAGCACACTCAATCTCTGGTATCAATATGCACATGATGACACTCTAGTTGAATGGCATGGCTGGTATCGACTCTTCATTGATGGATCGAGTGCTCAGATGCCTGAGTGGTGTTTCAGTTACATGTTATGTGGAGGTTATAGTTCTCTGTGGCTTGGTGGCCCTCATCCTGAGATAGAAGATGGAGTTATTACTCGTGAAGTCTACGGCTCTGTTAATGACCAGTGCAGTTACTACAGATCAGACCCCATTCAAGTCAAAGCTTGTCCTGGAAATTATTATGTCTACAAAATTAAAAGGCCAAATGTATTGATCCCAGCCCCTACATATTGTGCAGGTACAGTAATTCTTCTACATCTGTTACATGCTTATTATGAGCTAAATTTTGAGCTTTGATGTAACGACTGCATTTACAGACTTGCTAAAGAATAATGTATTTACAATGAAAAGGATTTGTGTTTGTTTTTGAAAAAATCTTAACACCTTTTTACTTTTCCTAAAACAGTTGCTTTCACCACTCCAAGTGCTGACCCTTGCTACAATTATAACAGTCTAGATGAACCCCAGAGAGCCACCATCAGCCCACACTACGATAAATATTATCACTATGGAATATGTGATTATAATTACAACTGGAATGGCTGGTACAGGTTGTTCTACAATGGTCAGAGTGTCCAGATGCCAGATTCATGTGTTGGTTCTGGCATGTGTGGCACTCCTTCCCCACTGTGGCTCAACGGCCCTCACCCACAGCTAGAAGATGGAGTGGTCACTCGGCAAGTGTGCGGTTCCACATGGAATGACTGCTGTGGTCACAAATCTCATCCCATACAAGTCAAAGCTTGTCCAGGAAACTATTATGTGTATGAGTTTGTCAGGCCAACATTCTGCTCTGCATATTGTGCAGGTAGAGCATAAGTACTTCATATTTTTGTTTGAAAAGTGTTTCATGCATACATATATTTTACAGTTTGCTTATATTTTTCTTCACAGAAGTTAATGTCCCACATACAACAACAAGATCAAATATTTCCTCAGGTATTTTAACAATTTAAACAAAAATAACGTAACTGACATCACATCGTAACAGAACATTGAAACATTAGTAGCCAAATAGTATTTTATACCTTATTGCTATGTGCTGTGATATATGTGGTATGTGAGCTTTATACCCAAAAAACAGTATACCATACAGTACACCATATTTTTCTGGCTATACCACTGTTGCAGGACCATTTTATCCATTTGGAGCTGGCGACACAGAGAATGATCGTTCTGATGATGGGATTTCACCAGTGATTTCCCTTCTGCAACCCTTTAGATTTTTTGGAGAGACATATAACCAATTGTATGTAAGTGAATCTGGTATTATTTTGTTTAAGTCACCATGGCACTCATACTGAGTTACAAGTGATTTAACTTTTGAATGATCTAAATAGTTTTGCTCCCTCATTAATATAGCAAGTTTCAACACTTTAGTAGTTCAACACTTTAGCCAGTGGTTCTCAAACCTGTCCTGAAGTACCCCCAGCCCTGCATATGTCTCCCTCATCTATCACACCCGATTAAACTCATCAGCTCATTAGTGGAGACTGCAAGACCTGAAGTGGGTTTGTCAGATATAAGGCGACATACAACATATGCAAAGCTGGGGATACTTCATGGAGAGTTTTGAAAACCACTGCTTTAATCTATTTGTAACTCTTAACCTGTACCATATAACGTTTAGGATAGTAAATGATGGCTGTGTTGGATTTATTATTATTAAAAGTGTTGTGCATATTATAATCCTTTATTTCAGATCAACAACAATGGATACTTGACTTTTGATTGGCCATGGTACAGTTACTTTCCATACCAGTTCCCAGGTTATGGTGGAGAAGACCTCATCGCTCCATTCTGGACAGATATTGATAACCGGGGCAATGGATTTATTTCATATCGTCAGTACTCCTCTGGCAGTGTTCTTACAGAGGCCACACAAGACATTAACCAATACTTCACTGATTTGAGTTTTTCTGCTACTTGGGTCTTTGTTGCAACATGGGACAGAGTTGCATACTATCCATATTCAGGAACCGTAAGAAATCCAATCTGGCTTTGTAAAATCCTGTTCTTTTTTAATATCGTATTTGATATTATAAAAATTAAAATTGATGTAACCCACCATAGAGTAAAATAATGCACATTGTATGATTACTGCGTTTTGTGATTTTTAGCAAGCTTGTGTTGGCCAGCACATGATTTTTTAAATTTGTATTTTTCAGGAAACATCTTTCCAGGTGGTGTTGATTTCAGATGGGCATTTCTCATTTGTTTTGTTTAATTATGGAACAATTGCTCCAACTCAACGATATGTACAGGTGTGCACTGACGTGACTAGTTGAAACTATTCCAATTTACTAACTGAAATAGAAACTTACATTTTCTTTTGGTCACTTATTGTAGGCTGGTTATGACACCATCAGCTCTACATACCACTTTTCAATTACTGGATCACTACAGTATAACATCACAAGCTTAACATACAGCAGCAATGTCAATGTGCCAGGCAGATGGGTCTTCAGAACAGATCATGGATCACAGGGTTGTCAGTTTTATGGTATGGTTTTTCTGTCCTCTTAAACTAATTAAATTATTTGCTATTTGAAGTAACCCTCAATAGACACTTTTCATTTCACTTTAGCTTATTGGTAAACCTTTAACAAAAATCTTGTTAAAAATAGTTTTTGGTGTTTGATCTCCTAACATACAACAATATTGAGTTCTAAGCAATGTGAAACAATACTTTATTGTAGGTGTTCCAGTGCAGCTTGAAGACTCTTTCTGGAGTGATGCCACCTGCCAGCAGAGATGCACCTGCACCAGCAGTGGCCTCCAGTGTAGCCACGAGCCCTGCAGTTACTCCCAAGCCTGCCGTCCAGCAGCCTTCCAATACTCTTGCCAGAACATTCAACGGCAAACCTGTACCATCTCTGGTGATCCTCACTACTACACCTTTGACTATCAGGTTTTTCACTTTCAAGGGACCTGCACTTATGTTCTATCTGAGGTTAGCCTTTCTCTATAATTTATATGGGTTTCTATTCATTTTTTTGTATGAATCAACTAGTAATCCTTGAAGTTTTATTTCAGGCTTGTGGCAATGGTTTGCCATATTATCGCATTGAGGGCAAAAATGAGCATCGGGGCAGCACGCATGTGTCATGGACACGGATGGTCAGAGTTTTTGTCTATGATGAAGTAATTGAACTGGTCAAGGATCACTATTATGAAGCGAGGGTTAGTATGACAATTTGCTTTAATTGTCACTTGTAATCAGCCTTCTGCTTATTATTCTAATTCCGTCTTTTTCTGAAATTGTCCAGGTTAATGGAAGCTTTGCAGCAACGCCATTCACCCTCCGCAATGGCTCCATCCAGGTCTATCGGTCAGGTTTTTCCTTGGCCATCAGCACAGACTTTGGTCTTCTTGTTACATATGATGCATACAGCTACGTCAGCATCTCTGTACCATATGACTATTTTAATTCAACCTGTGGTCTGTGTGGAAACTTTAACCTGCACCCTGAAGATGACTTTTGTTCACCCAGTGGTGAGATCTTGAGCTCAGATGTGGACTTTGCTAACAGCTGGAAGGTACAAAGTGACACAGATCCTGAATGCCATAATGTCAGGTGCACAGGTCTGGCTTGTGCTGTTTGTACCACAGATGAAATGACTTTGTACAGTGACAGCAACCACTGTGGAATCCTAGAAGATGTTGTCGGCCCTTTTGCTGATTGCCACCCTATGCATGCGCCACAGACGTACATAGAGAACTGTGTGTATGATCTTTGCTTGGGAGGAGGGTACCAGCCCATTCTATGCCAGGCTCTCAATGTGTATGCTACTCAGTGCCAACAGCAGGGTGTACAACTTGGTCAGTGGAGACAGCAGGGCTTCTGTGGTAGGTATCTTGTTGAGATGGATGATTAGAAAAATGTAATCTCAGACCGCATATTCTTGCTGCATATTCTTTATTTTATTTCTATATTTTCAGAAATTCAATGCCCTGTACACAGTCATTTTGAGCCTCAAGGAACAGGTTGTCCTGCAACTTGCAGTAATCCATCTGCCCCAATGAACTGTCCCTTGCCCAGTCAGGAAAGCTGTATCTGTGATCCTGGTTACATCCTGAGTGCTGGAGAGTGTGTGCCTGAAGCAAACTGTGGCTGCATCTTTGAGGGCTTCTATTACGCTGAAGGACAGTCAGTGGTGTTGGATGGGGACTGTGGGAGACAGTGTGTGTGCAGCAGCATGTCGATGACCTGCCATCAGCACCAGTGTGGTCCAGCAGAGGTGTGTGGAGTCCATGAGGGTGTGAGAGGCTGCAGACCCACCGGTTATGCTACCTGCTCGGTTGAAGACCTCGGGTCATATCACACCTTCGATGGACAAAGTTTCAGATACTCCGGAGCATGCGGACTGACCCTTACTAGGGTGATGGGGCCATCCTTACTACCACACTTTGTGTTGACGGTGGAAAAAGTACCCAGAGGCCTTCAAGACTTTTCCAGGGTTCTGAAGTTTGAAGCAGAAGGAATTCAGGTCACCATCGAAATGGGAGAGGGCAGCAATGTAAAGGTAAGGCAAAATAATAAATCACTAAGCTATTACTCAGTCCAAGAGCATAATTGCATTTTTTTTATTCATATGCTAGATGGAAGGTCTCCTGACACTGTTTATCAATCTTTTCAGGTGGATGGACAGATGGTCGGTCTGCCTATCAGTGTTGGCTCTGGTCAAATCCGCATTTATCACAGCAGTGTGAGAGGTTTTGTTTTGGAAACAAACTTTGGGGTGACTGTAAGAGCTGACTGGCCACACATTGTCCGAATTACGGCACCAAGCACATATAGTGGCACACTTGGAGGTCTGTGTGGGAACTTGAATGGGGACATTGCCGATGAGTTTTATACTCCAGATGCTGTCCTGTTAAATGACACTCAGCTGTTTGCGGACAGCTGGCGTGATGGTTCCCTATCAGCTCACTGTGAGGACCCAAATGACAGCTGGGAAACAGGACATTATCAGAACAGCAGCCAGTTCATTGAACATTGTAGTATCATGGCCAAGCATGATGGACCATTTGTTGAGTGCAGCAGAGCAATAGATCCTCAGCAACGGATTGCAGATTGCGTTCAGCTGCTGGAACAGACACAAGGTGCCAGAGAGGCTCTATGTGAGGCTCTGCGAGGTTACACTCTACTTTGCCAACAGAATGGCATTGCAGTAGAAGAGTGGAGGATTGCCACCCACTGTGGTAAGCATTACGTGTTGGATCTGCTGATCTACAACTGGATTTCATGAAGCTGAAATTTGCTTATATTTTCTACCATTGTCATTATGCTTTTGTAATTCCAGATCCCAGCTGTCCAGCAAATTCCCATTATGTTGTATGTGGCACATCCTGTCCTGCATCCTGCCCCAGCCTCTCCTTTCCATTTCAGTGCGCATTGCAGTGCCAGGAGGGATGCCAGTGTAATGACGGAAATGTGTTGAATGGAGATCGTTGTGTGCCTCCCGTGGGTTGTGGTTGCTACCACTCTGGGCGTTATCGGCAGGCTGGAGAGACGTTCTGGCATGGTGAAGAGTGCCAGTTCTTGTGTGTTTGTGATGGAATCACTGGAAATGTTCATTGCACACCATCTTCTTGCAGTGAGGTGGAGGTCTGCCATGTGTTGGATGGCGAGTACGGCTGCCATCCTCGGCCGCACGCTCGTTGCTCTGCTTCAGGAGACCCCCACTACATGTCTTTTGATAAATCCTACTTTGACTTCCAGGGCACATGCCGCTATGTGCTAGCCACAGTATGTAATGACACTACTGGGCTTCCGCACTTCCAGGTGGATGCAAGGAACGAGGCATGGCATGGACTCCCAGTGTCAATTACTGTTGAAATTTTTGTCAATGTCTCTGGGCATCTTGTGCACATGTCACTGGACATGAACCGTCAGTTTACTGTTGAGGTAATCAAGCATTATAGGTGATAGATAAAAACATAAATATTAATGACAATTTTGTGTGATTGTTATGATGCCATGATCTACAACAAATCAACACTTCAAACAATTTCACTCTGGTATTACTTGGGAGAACACACCCAGAAGTGCGCTTGTTTTCAAGCCTTTTTGTATTTAGTCATGTATCAGCAATATTGCCTGCTTAGCTTTAAAACAAGCTATTGTTTTATTCTCTTTTCAATCAGGTTGATGGAGAGACCAGAAATCTCCCCATCCTGCTTGACTCTGGACGGGTGTCTGTGTACTCCAGCGCACAGTACATATTTGTATCAACTGACTTTGGTTTGAGCGTTGGTTATAGTGGCTCCTGGGCGGTGGACATCATCGTACCAGCGGACTACGGTGGTGTTACGTGTGGCATCTGTGGAAACTTCAACGGCCAGAGTAATGATGACTTCATGACTCCTTCAGGTGCTCTGGTGCGCTCAGCAGACCAGTTTGGAGCAAGTTGGAAGGTTGAGGACGAGCTGCCATGCAATGATGGGTGTGGAAACCATTGCCCTTTGTGCCAGGATCAGACAACCTCCCGTTCCCTGTGTGACATCATCAGGTCCAGAGAGGGCCCCTTTAGTTTCTGCCATGTTTATGTCGATCCTCAAGCCTACTTTGATGACTGTGTGTTCGATGTTTGCCTTTCTGGAAACCATAATGATGTCCTGTGTCGCTCGATCCAAACCTATGCGAGTGCCTGTCAATCTAACAATGCCGTTATCTACCCCTGGAGAGAAAGCGCATCCTGTGGTGAGTGAGATAATTTCCGTTAGTGTGTAATTAACTTCAAAAAATAGAATACATTTTTAAGACAGGCTTGACATAAATACAAATGTTACATTTCCAGTCATAACCTGCCCAGAGAACAGCCACTATGAGTTGTGTGGCACAGACTGTGGTCATACTTGTGCCAGCAACATTGATGCTAGTTGTGAACACACATGCTCAGAGGGATGTTTCTGTGATGATGGGTTGGTGAGGAGTGGAGGACTCTGTGTCCCAGTGGAGCAATGTGGCTGCTTGCTTAACGGATTCTACTTTAATGTGAGGACTGAAACTCTGTTTAGACAAAGCTTTATTCGATTTCACAAGATCGGAGCCTTGTTTGTAGCATATCAATACTAAAACAACTTGTGTATATACTCTGTTCTGGAAATGTAAAGTTTATTATTTTGTGGTATAATTTCATAGGTTGGCAATCAATTCTGGAATGAAGAATGTTCCCAACTCTGTGAATGTTTTGCTCCAAATGATTTGCGCTGCTCTGATTCATCATGCCCATCGACGATGGAGTGTACAGTCAGAAATGGACTACGTGGCTGCTATGGTCAGTACATGTGTTTGATATCTCTTATGTTAACTTTTCTTTGTTGCATCAGCTAAACATTCACTTTAGAGTGGATTGTGCCACAGCGTTGCGCTGAATAGGGATATCAGAATTGCCAATTAATGTAACTAATGTAATTAATGTCTTTTTCATGTTATTTTCTCTGTGCAGATGAGAGCCCCACATACATCAGCACCACCAGATCAAGCCTTCCCTCAGGTATTTTTTAAAAATGCAGAGAAAAAAAAACATCATAAATAAAAAGAAGTCATGTTATATCAGTGATGGCATGAATTTGTTTACTAATAACATCTTACAAGCCTTTTTTTCTCTCTTTTATTTATTTATTATCTTTTTTAAAAAACATTTCTTTGTAATGTTGTCTCAGAGGATGTTAGCTTGGTTCATTTTATTTATTTATTTATTTTTTATTTAAGAACTCTTTCAAATCTTTATGGAGAAAATTAATGGTAAAAATAAATAGGAAAAATACTTCCAGAAGCAAAGTTGGTGAAAAAGCGGAGAAAAAGTCATTATTGCACACTTCAGTGATATCAGATTTGGCATGTAATGTGAAATTGAAAAAAAAAAAAAATTCTCTTTTGTAGAGGAGAGCACCATTAACATGACCACCACCGGACCAATCCCCCCAGGTATTTTTGAAACAATTTGGAAAAATAAATAACTGAATAATAATAAACATTAAATGTAAATTCATGAATTTCGACAGCTGTGTTTTATCCATTTGGAGCTGGAGACATAGTGAATGATCGTTCTGATGATGGGAGTTCATCTGTGATCTATTTTCTGCACCATTTCATATTTTTTGGACAGACATATAGTCAAATATATGTAAGTCTGTGTACATGAATGAAATAAATCAGAAAATAATGATTACTTGCATTTATTATTTATGTTACTTATGTTTATGTACTTATTTTAAGTATAAAAATTAATTTAAATATTACGGTTTCATTAATAGTCTTGTAGCCTATTTCATAGTTAATGATGTCCCTGATCCCACATGAATCTTGCCACACTGAATCTTACATATTTTAAAAGAAAATGTGTGTGTTGAGACGTCTTTATCTGTTTCAGGTCAACAACAATGGACACTTGACTTTTAATGGACCATTTCACAGCTACACTCCATACCAGTTCCCAGGTTATGGTGAAATAGACCTCATCGCTCCATTCTGGATAGATATTGATAACCGGGGCAATGGTGTTATTTCATATCGTCAGTACACGTCTGGCAGTGTTCTTACAGAGGCCACACAAGACATTAACCAATACTTTCCTGAACTGAGCTTCTCTGCTACTTGGGTCTTTGTAGCAACATGGGACAGAGTTGCATATTTCCCTCTCTCAGGAACAGTAAGAATCCCCGCTTGATTTTGTTTAATCTTCTTGTCGTTGCAATACATTATATGATTCTGATCATATATCTCATTCTGATCTGATCTCATTCTGATTCTGATTCTGATGATTATTGTGACATCTGGAAAACTTGCACTGACTAGCACTTTTACAATGGTCTTTTTCCAGGAAACATCTTTCCAAGTGGTTTTGATTTCAGATGGCCATTACACATTTGTTTTGATGAATTATGGAACAATTGCTCCAAAAGTTTATGTACAGGTGTGTACAACATGGTAAATAAAATATAGAGATTTAGAAGACTATTTAAATAAGATGCTGAAAGTGTTTTATCATAATTTATCACAGGCTGGTTATGACACCATCAACTCCAGATACCATTTCTCAATTCCTGGATCATTCTCAAATAACATCACAAACTTGACATACAGCAGCAATGTCAATGTGCCAGGCAGATGGGCTTTCAGAACAGATCATGGATCACGGGGTTGTCAGTTTAATGGTAATGGTTTTGCTATTCTCCTGAAGTGCTTTTATTTATTCCCTTAACATCCAGTAATTTTGAGTTGAAAGTTATGTGAAACTGCTGTTTTGTAGGTATCCCAGTGCAGCTTGAAGACTCTTTCTGGAGTGATGCCACCTGCCAGCAGAGATGCACCTGCACCAGCAGTGGCCTCCAGTGTAGCCACGAGCCCTGCAGTTACTCCCAAGCCTGCCGTCCAGCAGCCTTCCAATACTCTTGCCAGAACATTCAACGGCAAACCTGTACCATCTCTGGTGATCCTCACTACTACACCTTTGACTATCAGGTTTTTCACTTTCAAGGAACCTGCACTTATGTTCTCTCTGAGGTTAGTCGTTCTCCAATGCAGGGTTAAGCAACTTTGCTCCTGGAGAGCTACCATCCTGCAGACTTCAGTTCCAACCTTGCTTCAACACACTTGCCTATGCTGTAATTTTCTAGTAACCCTGAACATCTTGATTAGCTGGTTCAGGTGTGCTTGACTGGGTTGGAGCTCAACTCTCCAAGATGTAGCTCTCCAACGGCAAGGTTGGCTACCCCTACTCTATCATTTCTATGGCTTTCTGTTTATTATATAATAAGTAGACATCAGTTGGTAATCCTTGACACTTTTAGGCCTGTGGCAGCAGTTTGCCATACTATCGCATTGAGGGCAAAAATGAGCATCGGGGCAGCACGCATGTGTCATGGACGCGGATGGTCAGAGTGTTTGTCTATGATGAAGTAATTGAACTGGTCAAGGATCACTATTATGACGCAAGGGTTAGTATGACTATATTGCTGTAATTCTCACTTAAATGCTGTTATTTTCCTAATTTCCTCTTTTTCCAACTTTGAGTAGGTTAATGGAAGTTTTGCAGCAACGCCATTCACCCTCCGCAATGGCTCCATCCAGGTCTATCGGTCAGGTTTTTCCTTGGCCATCAGCACAGACTTTGGTCTGGTTGTTACATATGATGCATACAGCTACGTCAGCATCTCTGTACCATATGACTATTTTAATTCCACCTGTGGTCTATGTGGAAACTTTAACCTGCATCCCGAAGATGACTTCCGTTCACCCAGTGGTGAGATCTTGAGCTCAGATGTGGACTTTGCTAACAGCTGGAAGGTACAAAGTGACACGGATCCTGAATGCCATAATGTCCGGTGCACAGGTCTGGCTTGTGCTGTTTGTACCACAGATGAAATGACTTTGTACAGTGACAGCAACCATTGTGGAATCCTAGAAGATGTTTTTGGCCATTTTGGCGCGTGCCACTCTGTGCATGCGCCACAGACGTACATAGAGAACTGTGTGTATGACCTTTGCTTGGGAGGAGGGTACCTGCCCATTCTGTGCCAGGCTCTCAATGTGTATGCTACTCAGTGCCAACAGCAGGGTGTACAACTTGGTCAATGGAGACAGCAGGGCTTCTGTGGTAGGCATAGTTTTGTGATGAATGATTTCAATAGAGCAAATTAGATCTCAGTCCAAATGAAAAGATTACAATAATTGATGCATATTCTTTATTTTATTTCTCTATTTTCAGAAATTCAGTGCCCTGTACACAGTCATTTTGAGCCTCAAGGAACAGGTTGTCTTGCGACTTGCAGTAATCCATCTGCCCCAATGAACTGTCCCTTGCCCAGTCAGGAAAGCTGTATCTGTGATCCTGGGTACATCCTGAGCGCTGGAGAGTGTGTGCCTGAAGCAAACTGTGGCTGCATCTTTGAAAGCTTCTATTACGCTGAAGGACAGTCAGTGGTGTTGGATGGGGACTGTGGGAGACAGTGTGTGTGCAGCAGCATGTCGATGACCTGCCATCAGCACCAGTGTGGTCCAGCAGAGGTGTGTGGAGTCCATGATGGTGTGAGAGGCTGCAGACCCACCGGTTATGCTACCTGCTCGGTTGAAGACCTCGGGTCATATCACACCTTCGATGGACAAAGTTTCAGATACCCCGGAGCATGCGGACTGACCCTTTCTAGGGTGATGGGGCCATCCTCACTACCACACTTTGTGTTGACGGTGGAGAAAGTACCCAGAGGCCTTCAAGACTTTTCCAGGGTTTTGAAGTTTGAGGCAGAAGGAATTCAGGTCTCCATCGAAATGGGAGAGGGCAGCAATGTAAAGGTAAAGCAAAATATGAAATCACTAAGCTGTTACTCAGTCCAAGAGCATAATTGCATTATTTTTCAAATTCATACGCTAGATGGAAAGTCTCCTGACACTGTTTATCAATCTTTTCAGGTGGATGGACAGATGGTCGGTCTGCCTGTCAGTGTTGGCTCTGGGCAAATCCGCATTTATCACAGTAGTGTGAGGGGTTTTGTTTTGGAAACAAACTTTGGGGTGACTGTAAGAGCTGACTGGCCGCACATTGTCCGAATTACGGCACCAAGCACATATAGTGGCACACTTGGAGGTCTGTGTGGGAACTTGAATGGGGACATTGCCGATGAGTTTTACACTCCAGATACTGTTCTGTTGAATGACACGCAGCTGTTTGCGGACAGCTGGCGTGATGGTTCCCTATCAGCCCACTGTGAGGACCCAAATGACAGCTGGGAAACAGGACATTATCAGAACAGCAGCCAGTTCATTGAACATTGTAGTATCATGGCCAAGCATGATGGACCATTTGTTGAGTGCAGCAGAGCAATAGATCCTCAGCAACGGATTGCAGATTGCGTTCAGCTGCTGGAACAGACACAAGGTGCCAGAGAGGCTCTATGTGAGGCTCTGCGAGGTTACACTCTACTTTGCCAACAGAATGGCATTGCAGTAGAAGAGTGGAGGATTGCCACCCACTGTGGTAAGCATCACGTGTTGGATCTGCTGATCTACAACTGGATTTCATGAGCTGAAATTTGCTTATATTTTCTACCATTGTCATTATGCTTTTGTAATTCCAGATCCCAGCTGTCCAGCAAATTCCCATTATGTTGTATGCGGCACATCCTGTCCTGCATCCTGCCCCAGCCTCTCCTTTCCATTTCAGTGCGCATTGCAGTGCCAGGAGGGATGCCAGTGTAATGACGGAAATGTGTTGAATGGAGATCGTTGTGTGCCTCCCGTGGGTTGTGGTTGCTACCACTCTGGGCGTTATCGGCAGGCTGGAGAGACGTTCTGGCATGGTGAAGAGTGCCAGTTCTTGTGTGTTTGTGATGGAATCACTGGAAATGTTCATTGCACAGCATCTTCTTGCAGTGAGGTGGAAGTCTGCCATGTGTTGGATGGCGAGTACGGCTGCCATCCTCGGCCGCACGCTCGTTGCTCTGCTTCAGGAGACCCCCACTACATGTCTTTTGATAAATCCTACTTTGACTTCCAGGGCACATGCCGCTATGTGCTAGCCACAGTATGTAATGACACTACTGGGCTTCCGCACTTCCAGGTGGATGCAAGGAACGAGGCATGGCATGGACTCCCAGTGTCAATTACTGTTGAAATTTTTGTCAATGTCTCTGGGCATCTTGTGCACATGTCACTGGACATGAACCGTCAGTTTACTGTTGAGGTAATCAAGCATTATAGGTGATAGATAAAAACATAAATATTAATGATAATTTTGTGTGATTGTTATGATGCCATGCTCTACAACAAATCAACTCTTCAAATAATTTCACTCTGGTATTACTCGGGCGAACACACCCAGAAGTGCACTTGTTTGCATGCCTTATTGAATTTAGTCAAGTATCAGCAATATTGCCTGCTTAGCTTTAAAACAAGCTATAGTTTTATTCTCTTTTCAATCAGGTTGACGGAGAGACCAGAAACCTCCCCATCTTGCTTGATTCTGGACGGGTGTCTGTGTACTCCAGCGCACAGTACATATTTGTATCAACTGACTTTGGTTTGAGCGTTGGTTATAGTGGCTCCTGGGCGGTAGACATCATCGTACCAGCGGACTACGGTGGTGTTACGTGTGGCATCTGTGGAAACTTCAACGGCCAGAGTAATGATGACTTCATGACTCCTTCAGGTGCTCTGGTGCGCTCAGCAGACCAGTTTGGAGCAAGTTGGAAGGTTGAGGACGAGCTGCCATGCAATGATGGGTGTGGAAACCATTGCCCTTTGTGCCAGGATCAGACAACCTCCCGTTCCCTGTGTGACATCATCAGGTCCAGTGAGGGCCCCTTTAGTTTCTGCCATGTTTATGTCGATCCTCAAGCCTACTTTGATGACTGTGTGTTTGATGTTTGCCTTTCTGGAAACCGTAATGATGTCCTGTGTCGCTCGATCCAAACCTATGCGAGTGCCTGTCAATCTAACAATGCCGTTATCTACCCCTGGAGAGAAAGCGCATTCTGTGGTGAGAGAATTTCCGTTAGTGTGTAATTAACTTGAAAAAATAGAATATGTTTTTAAGACAGGCTTGACATAAATACAAATGTTACATTTCCAGTCATAACCTGCCCAGAGAGCAGCCACCATGAGTTGTGTGGCACAGACTGTGGTCATACTTGCGCCAGCAACATTGATGCTAGTTGTGAACACACATGCTTTGAGGGATGTTTCTGTGATGATGGGTTGGTGAGGAGTGGAGGACTCTGTGTCCCAGTGGAGCAATGTGGCTGCTTGCATACTGGATTCTACTTTAATGTAAGGACTGAAGCTCTCTTGAGGCAAAGGTTTATTCGATTAAAATTTTATTCGATAAAACAACTCATATATACGCTGTTCTGGAAGTATAAATTTCATTGTTTTGTGGTGTAATTTCTTAGGTTGGTGAGCAATTCTGGGATGAAGAATGTTCCCAACTCTGTGAATGTTTTGCGCCAAATGATTTGCGCTGCTCTGATTCAACATGCCCATCGACGATGGAGTGTACGGTCAGAAATGGACTTCGTGGCTGCTATGGTCAGTGCACTTGTTTAATATATCTTATATTAACTTTTCTGAGTTGCAGCACCTAAATGTTTGTTTACACACTACGAAAATATTGTTGTGAGTACCTGTGGAGAAAATGAATAGGAAAAACACTATCAGAACCAAGACCATTGAACGAGTTGATGATCACTACTGTATTACATGCCAACACTTATATGACTGTAGAACAAAGAAACAATTTTATTTTATCTTTCTCTTTACAGAAGACAGCACCACACACTTTACCACCGCCAAATCAAGCATTCACTCAGGTATTTTGTAATGATTTTTGTAATTTTGTGATTTGTCTCAGTTGACAAGATGTTTCAAATCCTTATGGAGGCAATGAATAGAAAAGGTACTTCAGAACCAAGGCTGCTGAAAAGGTGGATGATGATGTGCTCTATTGGCATGTCGGAGTTGGTATATGGTAAAAATTTTTTAGAATGTATTTTTCTCTTTACAGACGAGAGCACTACACACATTATCACCACCACATCAAGCCTTCCCTCAGGTATTTTCCATATACTTTTTGTAATTTTATGATTTGTCTCAGAGGTGATTGGTTTAGAACTCTACACTCTAAAAAATGCTGGGTTGTTTCAACCCAATGTTGGTAGAACTGTTGCACTCATTTTCACTGTTGCATTTTTTCTCTGTCTTTACAGAAGAGAGCACCACCTACATGACCACCACCAAATCAACCATTCCCTCAAGTATTTTTTAAACAATTTAGAAAAAAACAACACATATTTGAATGACACATTGAATGAAAAGATGTCATGTGAACTGATATCAGTAATGGTGTTTTTTGATGTTTTTACTTAAAAAAAATAAAAAAAGGTACAAGTGGTTAAAACAGACCTATGGAATTTTATGAGTTAATCCAGTAAAACAAGAAGTCCTAATGTTCGATCTGTTATCGCAAATATTGTTTTATTTAACAAAGGAAGCCAAGATATAATCTTCACCCCAGATGTGTTTTATCTATGCCTCAACTTTTGTCATTAATCCTGTTGTTCTCCTCTTAGGTGAAGGAGACCCCTGTCAAGAGCTCAGCTGCACTGAGAATGAATGGTGTGAAGAGAAACATGGTGTTTACGGCTGTTCCTGCAAGGAAAACCATCACAGATCTCCGCATGACTCCTTTGGTTGGACTCATTGCACAACATTTCAATGTTGTTTTAATGTTCGTCATTGATTATATTTTTGTTTTTGACATTCTCTTGAATGTTTTCTCTCTCAGATTTCATTGAAACCTGTGAAAGCAGCTCTGGCTCAATGTCTCTGTCTCGCTGTCAGCTTTTTGAGGCTGGTTTTCCTTCTGACATCTTACACCTCAATGACCCCAACTGCAGAGGAACAGTCCAGAATGGCAGAGTGGAGTTCTATTTTGACAACAATGACCACATCTGTGGCACAAATCTTGTGGTAGGATTCATTATGTACATCTTTGAATGGTCAAAATAACAACAAATCATTTTATTTTATTTATTTGTTTTGTAAATCATACTTTAAAAAGTCCCTTAAAGTACAAATATTCAAATAATATGTCCATACAGGCCAATGGCACCCACTTCATCTATAAGAACTTTATTGTGGGGGAGCCAAAATTAGTTGGACATCTCATCAGCAGGGAAAGAATTCTGAAGCTTCCTTTCATCTGTGTTTACTCACAAACCCAAACACTTTCCATGGACATCAACCCTCTGGAGAGGTGGGGCACACTGACTTTATCCAACTTACGGAATGAACTATTAATTATACTTATTTGTAGTTGACACATATCATGTAAAATTATTTCAACAGCACTGTGCACATGAACCTTCCTGCTGGTCAAGGGACATATCAGGTCAGGATGATTCCGTATCAGGATGCTGAATTCTCCCTCCCCTTCGCTGGTAGTGTGAATGCAGAGCTGAGCAAGCGGATTTTTGTGGAAGTTGGTGTTGATGGAGTTGACAGCCGTCAGTTTGCTTCAGTGATTGACACATGTTGGGCTACACCTGTGAACGATCCTCATTACCCTCTCCGCTGGGACCTCATCGTTGACAGGGGGACATATCAGGTCAGGATGATTCCATATCAGGATGCCGAATTCTCCCACCCCTTCGCTGGTAGTGTGAATGCAGAGCTGAGCAAGCGGATTTTTGTGGAAGTTGGTGTTGATGGAGTTGACAGCCGTCAGTTTGCTTCAGTGATTGACACATGTTGGGCTACACCTGTGAACGATCCTCATTACCCTCTCCGCTGGGACCTCATCGTTGACTAAAACTTAATGAAATTTAATTTAATTGTTTATATATATATATATATATGTATATTTTTAATGCATTTTTAATGTAAGGTGTGCAAACAAGTGCATTTTTAGTATTTTTTATCTTTTATTTATTGAACATGAATTAATTTTTTACATTTTCATGAGAACTTATATTTAATGCAACACCATATTTGGTTTATATAACTTAACCAAAATAAAAGTTACATTTGTTTTTAATTCAGTTTTAAATTTCACAACACTGGAAACACTGACAATTTTCAGAAACACTGATTTCTTTATTGTCCATATTTTTTAACTCATAAAAACTATTTAGACATAAAAAAAGTAAAACTGCCAAACACATAACAAAACTTTTAAACCTTACTCAAAACAGAAAATATAAGAAATAATAAGCTATAATATATTAATTAAACTAAAACAACTCTGCGGTGCGTACAACAACAGAGGCAATCCCTCTTACGGGATCCATTCTTATTGTTTTACGGTATATTTTATTAGATATCTCAGATACATTTTTTGATTGAATTATTATCATTATGAATATTCTCAGGTGTCCCACTCCAAATGACAAAGTGGAGCTTCTGCAGAATGGTGTTTCCACATCCAGCCGTTTCTCCTTCAGCGTGTTTATCTTCGTTTCAAACTCCACAAAGATTTACCTGCACTGCGCTATTCACCTTTGCCTTTTGAAAGACAATGACTGCTCAGTGGTAAGTGTACAAATCCTGTCACAACATCAAATGTTTAAGGAGTACACTTACACCTAATGGATTCTTCTGCTGATGATGTTTGCGACAAAGAGGATAATTATTTGATGACATGAACTTACATATGACCTGAATGTCCTGTTTTTTGTTTTTTTTTTTACTTTTAGCACTGTGACTCTGAACACCACCACAGAGAGGTCAGATCTCTGGACTTCCGTGACAGTACTTCCATATCTGTTGGTCCTTTGATGTGGTCTGACGGTAACAAAGGTGATTTATGGAATTAAAATATCAAAACAGTTGGATCACAAATCATACTTTGCATTCCCTCGGTGCTTCTTTTTAGTAGAAATTTTACTAATTTCTATGATAAGTGTTCTGATTTTCTTCTAGAATGTTCCCACTAATAATCATTTTAAGGATTCTCCCTGTAACCATGTTTGATTAATTTAGCAGTGGTGCCATATTCACTTTACTGTATGTAATTTGAACCTCCTTATGTAAAAAATACCAGTTTGCAGACATTGCTGAACTGAGTTTATTTTAACATAGTTTACTCATATGAGTGAAGTGAAGTGACATGTGGCCAAGTATGGTGACCCATACTCGGAATTAGTGCTCTGCATTTAACCCATCCAAAGTGCACACACACAGCAGTGAACACACACACACACACAGCAGTGACTCCAAATTCTAATATACAGTAGTTATCAATATCACAAAACAGTTATGTAATGTGATTTTGAAATAGCTGTTTATGTGTTTATTCACTCAATAATAAGAAATAAAAGAAAGAAGAAAAAACTGTTAAGGGTAGCTATATGAGATGTTAAAAATAAATTTGTGGCATTGATGCATCAACCTCATGCCTCTTGAATATCACAAAATGTGTTAGTCCTGTTGCTTCCAAATATTACTTAACTTCAGTTTCAGGTTTGTTTGCTGTTTGACACATTTATCAGCATGCTATATCTCTTCTTAATCCTTCTCTATTTCTCTCTTATTCTTAATTCAGGTTAGAATATTCAGGCACTAAATTATCTATTCTCATTTGAAGGGTTATTAAACAGATAAGCATGAAGTGTAACCTAAAGCAAGCCTGAATTTTTCAGCAGGAGTAGGAAAGTGTTCCACCTTGTGGTTCTTTGGATAAATGCAAACTGTTTATATTTGAGGTGCTTTTAATGTATCACACTTTTTATGGTTGCATTTTTTTTTCAGTGAACTCCCATCAACAGCTTTTTGTCTAGTGTGATTCAATTCATAGGCTATACTAGATGTATAGGCCTGATGTACAAATGTATGCGTATCATGAGATACACATACATTTGTATGTAGGACATTAGGATGTTTGAAAGTAGCTACATGTTTTACAAAACAAGTGTTTTCATTAAAGTATAATCTTCAAAATCTAATCTATAGATATTAACGGTAAATGCACCATTTTTATCTGTAGCCTAGTCTTTCGTAGATTTACATCACTTATTCAGTGTATCAACAAGTTTGTTACAACAATTTTACAAATATTATATATATATATATATATATATATATATATATATATATATATATATATATTAGATGGCACTGCATGCAAACAGTTGCATGCGGAGCCTGTATTCACTTAGAGGCAGGGAGTTACATTTTTTGTATCAGCATAATTTTCTCAGTTCTCTGCAGAGCGGACATTTGTATGGTGCATTGTGTAACTGTGTTTGTCTTACATGATCGATATACATCTCACCTCGTCAAGCTGGTGATGAAATTGAAATCGATTTGTGAACAGTGTTATTCAAAAGATCCACCCTGTGATGCAGCTCCTTTGTCTGCAATGACAAGTCTGTGGCATATAAAAGGGTCATGATGATTTCTTTGAGACTTCTTGACATTTCAAGGTTTGTTGTTGTACACTAACAAGGATTATTATCAAACCACACCTTCTCTTACATACATTTTTCAACAGCAGATATTTTTCCATCTGTGGTTCCATTACTTTGAGTAATGTGTCCTAATTAGCTAACTATAAAGATGAAACACTTTCATTTATTATGCATTGTGATTTCTGCCTTTTTAAAATGCTAGGTGCACCTCACTCCATTGGGAAAATGAGAGCCCATGTTATTCTTTTGACACAGAATCACATGTTAAAATGATGCCTGCAACGAGCCCAATATTTGCTCTATGGTACAATGTCTGGCACACTGATGCACAAATGCTCGCCAAGGCTTTCAAATAGCATGTAATTACATTCATGCATTCTGTATCCTCATATGAATGTGTTAACTTTGTCGGTGCTTTAAAGGAATAGTTCACAAATATAAATAAAATAAATAATAAATAAAAATAAAATCAAATGTACTGTACTGTAAAGTAAATGTTCGAATGTTCATGCTGCTCTTTTCAATATAATGAAAGTGAATGGTGACCAGAAAATAATACTATATATGACTCATCCACTATATTTTCTTCTTAAGCCATACTGCATGTTAGCTTTTTGTAAGACACAGACACATATGCAAATTGTTGTTTACTGTTAAATTTCCCCTTGCTCTTTCAAATCTCATTCATACAAATTGAATATGTGCATACTGCACATCAGTGCTTCATGACAGTTGTTTACAAACAAAAAATATCCACAACTGTTCTAAACAAATATGTCAGTGGATTTTGTTGTGAGAGGACAACAGGTGATGAGCTTTTCACTGGAGGAAGCGTTATTGATTATGGACACATACTTTGTCCAGAAGTGATGGATTAAAGTTAAAATATCTTAATGATGGATTTGTTTGTTACAAACAAATGTTTTTTTTTCACTTCACAAGACACTAATTGATGTGCTGGAGTCACATAGATTACTTGTGGATTATTGTGATGTTTTAATCAGCTGTTTGGACTCTCATTCTGACGGCACCCATTCACTGCAGAGGATCCATTGGTGATTAAGTGATGTACTGCTAAATTTCTCAAAATCTGTTTTGATGATGAAACAAAATCATCTATATATTGGAAGACCTGAGGGTGAGTACATACTCTTGTAAATTGGGTAAGTAAATTATGACAGCATTTTCTTTTCTGAGTGAACTGTTCTATTATTGCAAACGAATACACACACACACACACACACACACACACACACACACACACACACACACACACACACGAAATCGTCTTCCTCATGAAAAAAATTTATTTTAAAAAAGTGTAGTTAATATTTGCATCATTTATGATTTATTTTATCCACCCGCAAATAATCAGGATTATCCGCAGCGCCCGTGGATATAGGAAAAGCAAAATATGTTTTCTGCGTAAATCAGACGCACTTACTGAAAATGCAAATTCATTCTCTGCCAGCAGGAGGTGCTTTAAAGCAGGAGAAACAGAGGTTTCCCCAGCAACGGTTGTACACAAAGCAGCGCTGAGCTCACAAACGCTGCTTTATCAGGCATATAACATGCAATGGGCCTGCCAAAGCCTGAACTGGGTGAATTATTATTTAAAGGCCAGAGAGATGAACTAATCAAACAGAGGACAAGGGCCATTACCCAGCCATGAGAGAGAAAAAGAGAGGGGGAGAGAAAGATTAATAACAAGCGTCTGTGATTCTACAAAAGCCTGTTAGTCTGCAACTCGCTGAAGCTTTGGAAATTTCAACATATGATGTTACTCAGTTGTTAACAGATAATGAACAGACAAAAAAGTTGAGTTCAGTTTTTCATTTCGTTGTTTACTTATTCAGCCAGGAGTCGGAGATGCTGTGAAAGTCTCATCACAGATGATGCCCTCTCAGAATATATGTCTCTCACCAAAGATACTGATTTATGAATGATAATTAAATGTTCTGTGGAAGAACGAGCGGGATAAGTCACCGTGTCACAGATGTACACACACTTGCTCACAGACACGCACAGACATTTGCTGATTACTTTTGCCCTGGCCATTCATTCATATGTCTGTGTGGATTTTCTATCTGCATTTTCTCCATAATGAAATGCTGACTTTGTGGCATGTTTGATTTAAATGATTTTGGCATACATTGATATCACTGGCTCAGAAATGTGATCTACGCAGAACTCATTAAAATAGCAGAAACTAATATCAGGGAGACCAATAGGACATTACCTGTTCCTGTCTCCTCCGGAGAGCAGAATTATCTAGGAAACACAGTGTCGTAAACAGGAATCCAAGTTAATGATGCTTTAATGATTCATGAAATAATGGCCTGTGCTGCTGTATTTAACCATCCCAGTGAAGATACAACACTTTTTGAATTAACTCTGATTCTCT